GATCATATTTCAATACCTGGTCAACAAATGCAAATTTCACAGCAGACTTATTTCATGAAGAAAACTGGTCAAAGGTCAGAAGGAGACTTAATGCTACTACTCTATCCTGGACCACCAATAAGCTGTACTTTGGTAGACACACCAAAAAAATGACAAAGCATAAACAAATACTGAAATTAAAGTGACTCATTTTTCTCTGTATGTGCAATAACATATTTTAACTCAAATACTGGAGAAATGTTTTTAAAAAATAAAGATTAGGAAAATAGAGCATGCTTCTCTAGTGAAATAAAATTTCTCTTGAAAAAAAAAATTTAAAAAATCTAAACTTAATTTGCTAGCAGTGCCTGTAGCACAAATGAATAAAATCAGTTCATTTGCATAAGGACACTTTGAGCAGATTAAAAAAATTCCAAGAGAGAATGTGTGACCTTTTGGTAGAAAAGAAGAGAAAACAATTCATTTGGCACCTATTTTTGGCCAGCCACTCAACCAAAGCACTGCACTAGGCATGAAGGTGCAGTGCTAGAAGACAGTTCTCACCTCCTTGAATGAGTGGATGTTGTCTGGGAAGACCGTGTAGTTACAGTCTTAAATTCTGTTTCTGATGTGTGTGTTCCTTAAACCGTGATTTGGCAGGCCTTGCCTTTGCCAGGGAAGTGGAAAACATTTTTTTTTTTTTGACAGTGAGTTTTTAAAATCTTTAATCTGAGGACAGAACATGTGTGAATAAAGAAAGTGTGCTACAGCTGAAAGAAAGGCGTTTCAGTGAGCTGTGGAACCAAAGCATAAAGAAGGTGAAGACTGAACAAGGAGTAGAAAGAAAAGTAAAAAGAGTGGAAGGGAGATAGACAGGAGAGGAATGAGCAATAACGAGTTGCCAGGGCCTTGGGGATCTGGGAGAAGATGCATTGTCCCTCTCACAGCTGTATCCAGGCAAAGGTTGTGGAGCTCAGCGTGGCTGTGCTACACACCAGCTGCCTCCCTGACAGTCTTGTCTTCTGAGGGAGAGAAGGATGAGGGGGGAATTAGACACGAGGAAGGAGTCGAAAGAAAGAGGAGAAATAAGATATATTGGTCTTCTGGATCCTAATTGCTTTAGTATAAATTGAAACAAAATGAGAAGTGTAATGGAGTGGAAGAGAGATAAGTTTCAAATTAAAAGATGACTAAAGTAGAGGATTGCTTGTACGAATGGCAGAAAAACGAAAACCTGGTCTGGATGAAATATGAAATTGAATAACCAAGAATTAAACGACCAAGATCCAAGAAAATCCCATCGTAAAAACAAATTAGTTCATTCTAATTACTAAGAGTTAAATTGTGATTGATTAGCCTGAACTTAGTGCCGTGATGAGGACACAAGCTAACTTACTAAAACCTTCATCATACACAGCACATAATTATTTAAAAAATGATACAGAGCTTTGTTTCACAGAGGCAGTGATGGTTGGCAATTTAGATCTAACAGAAAATTAAAATTTTGAAAGACATATTTAAAATGATCTTATGTCAGGCCCAGTGATAAAAATATTTATAGATTATCTTTAATATTTTATACATTATCTTTTGCATTACTTATTTTATACATGTTCTAAAATATTTTACATCAACAAAAGTCTGATACACATATCATACATAAATATAATATTTATATATAATATATATAAGTACATGTATGTATAAAATACACTTCTCTAAATAGATTTCTATTAAGGAAATATTACATTGTCAGAAAAGTCATGATGTATTTTTTATGCGAGAATGTATCATAACTTTTCTGACAACCTAACAATTTCCTTTAAAATAAGTAACTAGTGGCCAAAACATGAATGACATGAGCCCTGTAGCATGAAGGGAGTGATCTAACATTAACTCCTGCTTTCCACTGGGGCTTCCCCTGGAAGGCATTCAGGCCTATGCCATCTAAACAGTAACCAGAAAAATGAACTGAAACAATCCCTGAGGACTTTTGTCAAAGTAACTACATTTAGGCTTCTATCTTCAATGATTGGATTCATGCCATATTCATTTCTATAGCTCCTTCACTTACTAGAGGGCCTGAATCAGTTTTCATTGTGGAAATACCACTGGAAAGACCAAGATTCAAATCCTAGCTTTACCAATTATAAGTCAGGTCATACCAGCCAACATATTATTTCTGAGTTTCAGTGTTTTCATCTGTAAAATGGTCATAAAAGTAAATATCTTTTATAGTTGTCAGGAGGGTTAAATTAGATTTCAGCTACAGTGCTTAAAATATAATGGAACTCAGTAAACAATAGATAGTTACCACAGTATCATATGGTAGGCAAAAATTCAATGGCTAGCACATGGTCATTGTTCTACCCACACCATCAGCCTAATGGAGCCAGTCCATCCCAGTGGCTGCCTCCTGACAGACTTCTACTTAAAGATTTTGAATAAGGTTTTGCATATATATGTATTTCTTATGATTAAAGACATTTTTCAGGCAAGATATTGACTTTGCAGCTTTAATCTATAGCTTCTGATTTTTGCCAAAAAATCTCAGTTCCATATAAAAGAAGTAGCCTGGTCAAGAGTGACCTTCTCTTGGGGCTTTTTGAGACCAGTGCTGAATGAATTCAACTCTTTAAGAATAGACATATAGAGGACCAGCAGATGGTGTAATGGTTACATCACTGGACTCCCACATAGTCAAATGTGGTCTGAGTCCTGGACGTGGTGGATTAAACTCACATTGGGTGCATGTGCATGTGTGTCCAAGATCCCAAGAGGAGAATGGAGGAGAAGGGATTGTGGTGTGGCCATCTCCCCTAGGTGGTGATTTCTCACTTTCTATTTCTCCATCTCTCCAGTGAGTACATGTGCTCTTTAGTAAAAATCTCTCTTAAAAAAGAAAAAGAATTGGCACATGGAATTTTCTGAGGAAGTGTTGATACTGGTTAGTTAACTGACTGCGTGGAACTGCTTGACAGGTCAAACTCAGAGCACCTGGTCAGGCCTTTGCTAAGATTTAAGAGATCTTATCATGTGTGTAAAGCTAAGGATAATGGGAATGAGCTGATATCATCACAATGGTCCTTGAGAAATAGAACATGCGTACTCAGGTCTTTCTGTCTGAGCATTTAACCATGTGTTAAAATATATTGGGAGACATGGCCCACATGATTCCAATTGGAATCAAATATCTTCACCAGGTGAGCAGAGAGAGAGAATCACAGGCTGCTTATCTAAAAAAATTTTTTTGGTAAGATTTTAAATATCCCTTATTTCCTTGAAGAATTTAAGAGTACAATGATTTATCTAGTGTAGTTAGATACTGTTTTAAGAAAACCTGATAATGAGGAATCTCAGTTTGGAATTAATTTTCAGGAAGGCCTTTTCCTCCTGGATTTCTAGGTTGAACCAAATGGTTATCCACAATACTCCCAAATACTATTGGCAAACCTCTTAATGCTTTTCAGTTTTATATCAGAATAATCTGTCATCCCCATTAGATTAAAGGCTTTTCCAAGTCCTTGCCCCCCCCAAAAAAAAATTCATTCATTTTTGTATCACCATCAGCAAGCATGATAGCTGGCACTTGGAAGATATATTGTAAATAAATTACGATTTAGTGAGTGGATAAATCAGTGATTGATTACTCATTTAGCAGAGTCATAAGGGACCTTTTAAAACCTGGATTCTTTTACATACTTAAAGTATACATCAACATATACAATTTTTACAGAAATAATATCTTATAAGTGAAATATTTAAAAATTTAGACCTGTATAAATTATTAAGATATACGATCAAGTTGTCTGGCAAAGTATAGCAATGATTATGAATTGTAAATTTGAGAGAATAAGAATGAACCATTATTGGGGCCGGCAAGTGGCATGGTAGGTAAAGGCACTGGACTCCCACATGGCTGAATATGGTTCAAGTCTCAGACCTGGTGGCTTGCTTTCTCACTTCCTCTCTCTCTCTCTCTCTCTCTGATCAAACTGGAAAATAGTAATGATAATAATAAATAAAGTTAAAACAAAATAATTCTTAAAAAAGAAAAGAATGAACCATTATGTTATTCCTTGAATTGTTAACATTCATAGAAGGTATTCAAATCATTTGATTCAATGGGAGAAAGAAAATATAATACAACTTCGTCTTGATTGCAAATGAATTTCCAAATATGTATATATCACATTTTTCTCAGTGAATGGGCTTATTGTTTTCTTAGCAGGCACAAATATCCTTTTTGTTTTTTGAGAGTTTTTTGCTATAGAGGGCATGCATTCGCCAGAAAGGCAGAGAGACAGAGAGACAGAAAGCAAGAAATCACCTCCCAGGGGGGATGGCCACTCTACAATCCCTTCTCCTCCATTCTCCTCTCAGAATCTTGGGCACGCACACACACGAGGTTGGAGTGAGTTTAAGTCACTGGGTCCAGGACCCGAACTGTGATCAACTACATGGGAGTCCAGTGACATAGCCATTAGGCCAACTGCTGGTCTCCAGACACAAATATTCTCATAAGCATTTAACTTCTGAGTGTCTCTTCCTGAGATTATATGTCATGAAAGATGCCAACATATTCATCTTGGGTATATCAGAAAATGGCAATGCAATTTCTTTGTGGGCAATGAAAAAAAATAAAGCTTGTGAAACTTTCTTATAACAATGACGGCGACAACAAAAACAACAGGGACAACATGACACCCTTATAGCAAGATTGTCTTGCAATTAGCCACGTTTGTCTGACAGGCTTCCCCCCAACCTCTACCCTCCTGTCTAAGAGAAATTGTGCAGAGCATTTCATTTCAAGCCTCAAAGATTTTTGACAGAAAAAAAAGAGAAAACTGCAGTTTTTGCTACAAAAAGACAGGTGGCGTAAGCATGCAACATTTTTTTTTTTTTAAATATATAAAGTGATTATTTTTTTCTCGGGTCCTTTGAAAAAGCTCGCTTGTGCTCCGGTTTGTGGCTGAGCCCGGTGACGTCATTGAGGCAGTGCAGAGCGGGCGCGGCGACTCCCTATAAGCCGAGGAGCTGTCCGAGTGCTGAACGGTCCGACAAGCTCACTCGGCGGACAGGAGGAACATGCTGCGGACCTTCTCTGCCATATAAAGAAAGAGGTAAGGCAGCCTTTCTCTTCCATTTACTGGAAAGTTCTAAATTGCGCTGTTCTTCCTTTAATTTCTAGCTGAGAAGAAAAAGACCGTTTGGCAAGCTTTTATCGGTAGAATAACTGAATAACAACCTGCTGCTCTTGAGTCCACGGAAGAAACAACATGCGTACACAGGATAACATCTATGATGCGTTCTACTTGCCGCTGAATATTTATGAACTGGAATGTAATTTAGAGCATTATGTGTATGGAGAGTGAAAAAGTTAAGGCCGATATTTTGTTTCTTTCCTTAATTTATCGTTCTTTTCCCTCTAAGAACCAGATACAAAGCAGGAATATAATTTATATGCTTAATATTCTTAACAGTAGGTTCCAATGCTTCGGAGGCTGTTAAGCACATTCGTCATGGAAGCAACCAATTTCAGAACTAGTTTATTTCTTCCCATTGATATTTGGATTGCAAGAACTCTAAATGAACTAACTATATAAAATTATGTTCTGACCTGGTACACTCTGAATAGGCTTATGTTATTACCTCCTCATTTTAGTCTCAGGAAAGTAGTTTAAATGATCCCCCAAACAGGCTTTTCCTTTTTTTCCAGGGTGCAATATTATCTTGGGTTTTAGGTTGAGTGGGACTATGATTTAGAAATGATCATTTTGAATATATGGCAAAAACATTTATAACTGTATAAATTATTACTGTTGTCATTATGTTTTGGTTGAAAGAGGTTGTATAATATTTTGCTAAAGATTTTGACAGGGACAGTATCTTTTTTCTATATCCCAACTAGTTGAATTGCTCAAATCAGATCTATCCACTTGCATGTGTCAAAGCTCCAGTCAGATTTCAATAGAAAAGCCATTTTAACTTAAGTAGTTTTAATAATAGCTATCAAGGGAGAAACAATGTTCAAATTATTTGGATTTTAGAAAATTACATTTTAAGTCAAACACTATACAGTATATTAGGGCTATTGAAATCATCTTCATTACTTAAAAGAATTGTTACCTGAGAAACAAATCTTTTGAGTCTTACTCAAATGCAGTAACTATGTAGTCCAAACTGAATATAAATGAATAATCAAAGGAAAGGGTTGTTAGGTTGTGATTTAAATCATTGCAATGAATATCCTACTTCAACTCTACAGCAAGCTTACCTCCAAGATAGTCATTTTAAATACAAGCACATAATAATGCACATTAGGAGTATTCTAGTATAATGGTTTAAAAGAAAATAAATGCAATGATGATTTTACTATTACTATTTCCAATCACAATGTTAGAAATTGACTACCTGGAAGTAATCCTGGAATAACAACAAGGTGATAAACATATAAATGTATTTTTACTTAAATATAATAATTTTATGAATAAAATTTACTATAGTAAATATTTATGTAAAGTATCTTGAAAGTATTCTTTGAAATCCTTTAAAAGATTTTTCTTTAAGAAAATTAAGCAATGTAGTTAATGTTAGTCATTTAAATAAATATATGTATCTATGCTAAAGAAGTTTCTATAACTACAACCATTTTTAAACTCTAAAAACTAATATGATGTATGACAAATGGTATTTTCTACAATTATACCCACATAAATTAGCTTATATATCTCAAAATCATTGTCTAGTAAGATCTCATGAACAACCTTGCAAACTTTTCTGAACACTCATTTAAAAAAAATCACAGTATTAAAATATTTTTCTCAATGTTTGCAATGTCAAATATAAAACATAAAAACTAGAATTCTTTCTAATTCATACATGAGATTTTAAAATGCTGCAGGGTAAAAAATGAATGAAAATTTTAAGTAGGAAGAATTCAGTGCATTGCCTGTGCTTATCTAAATTGGGAGTTGCATAGTGGTTATTTTAAGATTTTCTAACAGTATGAGTCATTTAAGATTTCACAGGTCCATACTAAAATAGACACAGACAGAAGACAAACTGAATCTGAGCACTCACGAGTTCAGAAATAGACTAGTTAAGAAAACTTATGTTCTCTCTGTAGCATCTGTTATTATTTACTATGCACTCTTGAGAGCTGATGAAAAATATAACCACAATTGTAATCTGCAAGATAGTCATGATAAAATTATCAAAAGAAATTTGGGGCACGGGGATTTAAAAATAGTTTAATCCATTATTGTAGTATATTTATTCATAAAGAACTTTATTGATTAAGCTTGCTATCTGGGACCTTGGAAGATCCATTTTCTGGAGGTTATTAATTGATAGTTGGATTTGCTTTCAGAAGGGAGAACAATTTATTTCTGAAAAACAAATGAGACTAGGACTCATTCATAAAGCACTTCAGTATGATTGACACTAACATGCTGTATCACATCATCAGTAATGTACAGTAATGTCACTGCTGCTCTTTCAGTGACAAAATTATTTTAGGTGGATAAATCAGGAAATAAACCATATGTTTTTGATACAATCTTAAAGACATAACTCTCTCTGTGTGTGTGTGTGTGTGTGTGTATGTGTGTATACTTTAGATTCATCCACTACATTATTTTGCCAATGATTTCAATAGGAATGCTACATAACAAAAACTCATCTTGGGAAGTCTTTTCTCCTTTATTACAAAGAAACAACATGTACTAATACTCAAACTACAAGTTCCATAAGTGAAAAAAAAAATTTGAGAAACCTCACATGGGTGATTTTGTTATTGTTTTAACCAAGAGAATGCTATGCAATTTTGTTGCAAATGAGTAATGATCTTGCTGAAGATTGTTGTACTTAGCTTGTGGGATCATGTAGGAACGATTCATGGATTTAAAGAGGAAAAGAGTTATCCTAAATTTAATGTGAAATAATCTCTGCCATGTTTTTTAAATTTTTTCTTAGTGGTTAATTGTTGTTGTTACTAATATTGCTATAGTGTCTTCTGGTCTGTTTAGTTTGTGTTAACTCTTGTTTTCTATCCTTTAAGGAAATTTTTCAAACATGGCAGAATTTAAGACCCACTGGCTTGGAGCAGTCCTGTTTGTTATTCCTTTAATTTTCCTCATTTCTGGGGCTGAAACAGCTTCATTTCAGCGACATCACCTGCTGCAGAAAGAGCCAGACCTCGGATTGGGAAATGCTCAGAGGTTTCCAAATCCTGAAATGATCAGAGCTTTGGAATACATAGAAAAGCTCCGGCAACAAGCTCACAAAGAAGAAAGCAACCCAGATTATAATCCCTACCAAGGTGTGTCTCTTCCCCTTCAGCAAAAAGAAAATGGTGATGAAAGTCACTTGCCAGAAAGTTCAAAGGATTCACTGAGTGAAGATGAGTGGATGAGAATAATACTTGAAGCTCTGAGACAGGCAGAAAATGAACCTCAATCTGCTCCAAAAGAAAACAAGCCCTATGCCTTGAATTCAGAAAAGAACTTTCCCATGGACATGAGTGATGATTATGAGACACAACGGTGGCCAGAGAGAAAGCTCAAGCACATGCAATTTCCTCTTATGTATGAAGAGAATTCTAGGGACAATCCCTTCAAACGCACAAATGAAATAGTAGAGGAACAATATACTCCTCAAAGCCTTGCTACACTAGAATCTGTCTTCCAAGAGCTGGGGAAACTGACAGGACCAAACAACCAGAAGCGCGAGAGGGTTGATGAGGAGCAAAAACTTTACACAGATGATGAAGATGATATTTACAAGGCCAATAACATCGCCTATGAAGATGTGGTTGGGGGAGAAGATTGGAACCCAGTGGAAGAGAAAATAGAGAGTCAAACCCAGGAAGAGGTGAAAGACAGCAAAGAGAACATAGAAAAAAATGAACAAATAAATGAAGAAATGAAACGTTCCGGGCAGGTGGGCCTCCAGGAAGAAGATCTCCAGAAAGACAGTAAAGACCAACTCTCAGATGATGTCTCCAAAGTAATTACCTATTTGAAAAGGTTAGTGAACGCTGCGGGAAGTGGGAGGTCACAGAATGGGCAAAATGGGGACAGGGCAACCAGGCTTTTTGAGAAACCACTTGATTCTCAGTCCATTTCCCAGCTAATTGAAATCTCAAGGAATTTACAGATTCCCCCTGAAGACTTAATTGACATGCTGAAAACCGGAGAGAAGCCAAATGGAGCAGTGGAACCAGAACAGGAGCTTGAACTTCCGGCTGACCTGGATGACGTCTCAGAGGCTGACTTAGACCATCCGGAACTGTTCCAAAACAAGATGCTCTCCAAGAGTGGCTACCCCAAAACACCCGGTCATGCTGCAATGGAGACCCTGCCAGATGGGTTCAGTGTTGAGGATATTTTAAATCTTTTAGGGACGGAGGGTACAGCAAATCAGAAACCCACATATTTCCCCAATCAATATAATCGAGAGAGGGTTCTGCCAAGGCTCCCCTATGGGCCTGCAAGATCTAGAATAAATCAGCTCCCCAAGGCTGCCTGGATGCCAGATGCTGAAAATAGGCAAACGGTCTATGAAAGCCAGAATGATAAGGATCAAGAATTAGGAGAATACTTGGCCAGGATGCTAGTTAAATACCCTGAGATAATTAATTCAAACCAGATGAAGCGAGCTCCCAGTCAAGGCTCATCTGAAGATGACCTGCAGGAAGACGATCAAGTGGAGCAGGCCATCAAAGAGCATCCGAATCAAGGCAGCTCTCAGGAGACTGACAAACTGGCCCCGGTTAGTAAAAGGTTCCCTGTGGGACTCCCAAAGAATGATGATACTCCAAATAGACAGTACATGGATGAAGATATGTTAATGAAAGTGCTGGAATACCTCAACCAAGAAAAGGCAGAGAAGGGAAGAGAGCATATTGCTAAGAGAGCAATGGAAAATATGTAAGCAGCTTACAATTGCCCAGCCTTCTCTCCTCCCACCCCTAGCGACCCCCAATATTTCTCTTTAGTGTGTTGACTTTTATCCTGTTAACACTGTAATAATATCTCTAAACGACCCACAGGCAGATGACTCCAGGTCACTGGGGAATCTGCTTCACTTACTCTGAGCTGTTCTCTTGTGTATGGATATGTGTAAATGTTATGACTCCTGGATAAAAAAAAAATCATTATGTCTCTTATTCAAGAAAGATATCTATGATAGTGTTTAATAGTGTATCTAATGGCCATGGCATTGCTGATGCTCACATATGAAAAAGAGTGTCCTATAATTCTCTTGAAAGTTTTTAATATTTATTGAATTATTTTGTTACTGTCTGTAGTGTTTTGTGGAGTATTGGAGCAAAAAAAATAAAGCATTATAAATATATAGTTTTATTTATAAGGCCTTTTCTATTGTGTGTTTAATTGTTGATTAATAAATGTTATTTATGGACAATTTTGGACTCTTCATTGTGGAAAATCAGAGACAATGACCATGAAGAAAGCAGTTTGGAGCCAAAGAGAAAATTGCTATTTTCTGCAGTCAGCCCAGGTAAGAAATAATGAAGTTTAAAGATGTGGTCATGTCATGCTTGCAGAAGGCTGTATCCTCTAACAGCCCACTATTTAGGTTGACCATGGTTTTTCTCACATACATGATTTAGAGAATAAGTCTTTTAGTGTGACAGTTACAACTCACACCTCTGAGTTATATAAATAAAAGACATTTAAGACTCTCCTACCCACATCTAACACTAAAACAAACTGAGAAACAATAAAGGCTGTGTACATGGCAATCAGAGGTGACTATAGGGTGGGGAGCAACCTACCTATTCTCATATCACCTTGGTCCATGGAAGACAAGACAGCTGCTTCTTTGTGGGGGTCCAGAGACCCCAAACTAATGAATGGACACAGTCACTGTAGAGGTAGACCCCCCTCTTGCCTTGGTGGGCTGGGCAGTGCATAATTATTGCAGTGTGCCTCACTTCTGCTCCATCGGATCAGCTCCTAATGCGTAACAGAGAATCAACGATTGCAGCAAAAATAATAGCAAGAAAATACAGAGAGCCAAAAAGCAATAGTCATCAACAAACAAGGAAATCAGTAACAGTTATAATTTATTGGGTGGCCTATTGTGTACCAGACTCTGTACTAAACACCTTACTTGCTTAACCTCATTTAGGCCACACAATATCAATGCTAAGGTTTCTTTCCACCTCACTCCCTCTGTATCAGGGTAAACAAAACTCAGAAAGTTAAAGAATTTTCCTCGAGTCACCCAGCATGATGAGTTCCCAGGATCTGTTTGCTGGACCACTTTACTACATGACATGCCTCTTTGGGAAGTACCCTTTCAGCTGGAGGATGGGGCATTAGTGGGTGAATAGGGGGGTGTCTCAGTATAGGTCACTTACAAAGGACAGCACGCATGTGTGTGTGTGTGTGTGTGTGTGTGCATGTGTGTGTGTGTGTCAGAGGCAGGGAACAATCTCTGAACTGACAGAGGGTAGTGAGAGGGCCTTGATGCCATGGGAAAAACACTGAATTTGGATTTTTCTACTTCATAATTTTCCCTAGAGTCTTTAATATCCAATTCTGATACAATTTCATGGATTTCTTGACTCTATGGGTAAGAGGGATTTTAAAGGTGATTATCTCTGCAGTGTTTGTAATAGGTGGTCTCTCCTCTCAAGTACTTTCAAGACAGGGAGTTTCTATCTCACATGGCAGTCCTATAAAGTGAACATTATGGGATACTTCCTCTGTAGAAGGAGCCATCTCACAGACAACCAGTTAACTCTCTCTAGTCCTCTGAGAACAATGTTGTTTGTATTTTTGGAAACATAGAGTGCCGAGATAAGCTCCTATAGATCTACAGTTGGTTAGTGGTGGAGTGGGAGTTTAACTCATAACTAACCATAGCCCTCAGGTATGTGTTCTTTTTTATTTTGGAGAGGTTTTTTGCTATAAGGTGTGTGCGCTTGCCAGAAAGACAGAGAGACATAAAGCAAGAAATCACCCCTCAGGGGGAGGGCCATGCTGCAATCCCTTCTCCTCCATTCTCCGCTTGGGATCCTGGGCATGCATGCATGTGCGCTCTGCATGAATTCCAGCCACTGGGTCCGGGACTCGAACCACAGTCGACTACATGGGAGTTCAGTGACATAGCCATTACATTAACTGCTGGTCCCAGGTATGTGTTCTTCCATGCAGATTTGATGCTTTACAACACATAGAGTCAGGTATCAGGGGAGGATTGGAAACAAACTGGGACTCTTTCATGTGAAGAGAGCTAGGTTATTTATGTAGTGTAAAGTCTAGGGAACTCTTTTATATGTCACTCCTGATCTTCTTCCTCCTTCTCCTCATTCTCATTGCCAGAGGGCACATGTTTGTGTGTGTGTGTGTGTGTGTGTGTGTGTGTGTGAGAGATCAAGAGGAGGATGGAGAAGGGACCGTGGTGCGCCTATCCCCCTCATCGAGAGAGAGAGAGAGAGAGAGAGAGAGAGAAAATCCCCCTATGGAGAAGGTCTCACCATAATCCCCTTTTCTCTAATTCTCCATCCCATCAGGATTTTGAGCATGCACACACATGCTGGTTATATTTTTTAAAACCACCAGGGTTGGGGGTGGGTGGTGGGATTCTAGTAACAATCTGGCATGTGTGGTTTGGCTCCCTGTGCACTGGGCTTCCCACCATACTGTGCGGCTAGCCATGACACTTTTTCTTAAGCCTCAGTTAAGCTTGAAACTCCATAGTTCCCTAATGCAGATATTTCAGGCATGAAGTTGTCAGTGGAGAGACATTTTAATTTGAGATATGCACTCTCTGCCTGACCTCCCACAGTTGTCAATTAGCACATGTCTTTGTCTTTTCATACCATCGCCATATCCCCAGCTATTGACTCAGCAGACTTACTTCTGATCCAAAATTGTTTCTTAAATTTTTTCATGATGTTAGTACATTGCTTCCTAGCATAAGAAATTAAGCTCTAAGTAGCATTAGAGGATGTAGATGACAAACTGAAATTAAGGCAATACTGCCCCTCTTTCTATGCAGAATTCTACTTCATTAAGTCAGGGGATAATTCCAGCCCTCCAAGCTGATGCCATCTGCTGGCTACCACTGGAAGGAGAGAGAAATGACCCTCTTCCAGGATTTCACGCCTCCATCTGTAGAAATTAGAGAGACCTAGCACTCTGTGTGCTCTCGGCAAGGTCCCCACCTTCCACCCTTCCTTCCCATCCTCACTCATGGCTTCTTCCACCTGTCTGTTTTGGGGACTATTAGGATAAATTGAACTGTGCTCTTCATAACTAATAACATTTTCAAGGTACTCTTTAGCTCCCACACTCAACACTTCCTAAATTTTGCATATTAGCTTTTCAAACCCAGACTCCTACTCCTTCCTATGCTGTACTCAGGGATCTTTTCCAACATACATTTTGGTACTCAAGCTCAGTCATAAACAAAACACCCATATCCTTAATTGCATCTGTGCATCTCTAACTCCTTGCTCTAATGGATACCTACTTCTCCCGAAGGTTGCTACTTCCATTGATTTCCTCTTCTGAGCTCCAGTATGCTGCTCACAGTACATTTTTCTTCTCTCCACAAAAATACCCAACTTTGAACCTCCTGCCATCATCCACTACCCCTCACTATTGCACTCATGTACCACTCCAGGTCACTTCCCCCAATTCACTACAAATAGTAGCTCCTGCTCACTGTCACACTCTCTAGCACTGCTTCTGTCTTAGTGCTTGTTCATTTCAATAGTCATGGAGCTGATTTTTGGAGTACCCCCCGCCTCCACCAGGCACCATCTCTATCAGTTATTCACTTGTATGGTATGCCCTCACCCCCTCCAGGATATCATAAATCACAACTCCAAACATTTCCAACAGTCACCTTCTCTATTTCCAGTGCACTTCCTCTAGTATCTCAGTTTCAATACTTCTACATACCAAACAGAAGTAATCCACGTAGCAGATCATCTTTGCCCTCTTTCTTATCTCCTTTATTCTTCACCAAGCACTTACCCTGTCAAGCATAAGTTCTGTGGTTAGTCATTACAATAACTCCCTTGTAAACATTCTTAATTCTCTTCCGCCTCTTGCATTTCATCGTAATATCTTTGTTAATCAAGAGCTCTAGTTACTTCCAATTCTCCACCCACTCTTAATTTCTATCCTACAGCTGAACAAAACAGAAGCAAGACACATAACCACACTGACTAATTTCACTTTAAATTAATGCTATTTCCTGCAAATGGCCCATAAAGTTGCCCTATAATCCTCAGATACCTCCAATCCATTTAATCTCATCACACCTTAGACAATGATAATCTTTCCCCTATGTCCAAAATATGCAACACTCTCTCTCTCTCTCTCTTTTTTTTTTTTTGAGAGGTTTTTCACTATAGGGCGCCTGTGCTTGCCAGACAGACAGAGACAAAGAGACAGAAAGCGAGAGATATCAACCCCCAGAGGGGATGGCCACGCCGCAATCCCTTCTCCTCCATTTTCCTCTTGGGATCTTGGGCACGCACGCACACGTGCCCGGCGTGGGTTTTAAGCCACCGGGCCTGGGACGTGAACCGCGGTCGACTACGTGGGAGTCCAGCAACATAGCCATTACGCTAACTGCTGGTTCCCCAAAATATGCAACACTGTCTCTACAATTTATGCTTCCAGATGATCATCTGGCTTCCTATTTATGGAGAAATAAATAAATAAATAAGCAATCCAAGGAGATGATTTTTAGATGCCCATCTCCACTTTGACACAGCTACCTGTATCCTAGGCAATGCAGTCTCTGTGTTCCTGTGGTGGTGGTGGTTGGAAAACTAGTCTGTGCTCCTGTCTTCATTAATCCCTTCACTTGTACTCTCAATCCTGCCTCCTTACTTGAGAACCTTATTTTGGTAAATCTCCCTTTCCTTGTTGTCTTTTCCTTGTTCCAACTTTCCCCTCTCTACTAAATATGAAAGGTTGCTTTCTGCAAAACCAATCAAACAAGCAAATGACCTTACTCAAGTCTTTGTTCAAACATAGACTCAGTGTTGACGTGCTTTCTAAACTTCAGTTTCACATATCCTATCCTCTTTCTTGCTCAATTTTTTCCTTCTTGGCACTTTTAACATCTAGCATTCAAAGCTTCTCTGTTTGTTTATTGCCTGCTCTTCCGCCACTGGAATGCCACCTTCCTGAAGATAGTTATTGTTTGTGTTATTCACTATGCTATCTTTAGTTTCCTAGATCAGTAATTGGAACATAGTGCACAGAAAACAGTCATTGATTAAACTAATGAATTGGGAATGAGGGAATGTGAAACCAATAAAGACGAAATAGAATAGGAAGAACTGAGATTGATTTTGAATC